CTTCCTCCAATCCTGATGCCACATTTTTCTTCATATAACTCAGCTCTCGAATTATTTGCTCAGCATACAGGTTGAATAAGTATGGTGAAAGAATACAACCTTGTTGCACACCTTTCTTAATTTTAAACCATTCATTGTTCCCATGTTCTGTTTAAACAACTGCCTCTTGGTCCAGGTACAGATTTCTTATGAGTACAATTAAGTGTCCTAGAATACTCATACTTCGCAATGTTGTTCATAGCTTGTCATTATCCACACAATCGAAAGCCATCGCGTAGTCAATAAAGCACAGGTAAACATCCTTCTGATATTCTCTCTCAGCCAAGATCTATCGGACATCAGCAACAAAGTCCCTATTCAGGCACTTAAAAGCTACTGGGTAATAAAGAGATCAAATGAAAAATGAAATTAAAAACTCCTTGAATCAAATGAGAATGAAAACACAACATGCTAAAACTTTAGGATACAGTTGAAAGCAGTACTCAGAGGGCTATGATTAGCAATGAATGCTCACATCCTAAAAGAAAAAAAACAAAATCAGCACCTTAATCAAACATCTCCAACAATCAGAAAAAATAGCAAATTAAGCATATTTCCACCAGAATAAAAGAAAGGTGGTTGTTGTTAAGTGCCATCAAGTTGGTTCTTAACACTTAGCAACCTGTATAGAGTTTCCAAGGAATGGTTTGTGAGTTTGAACTGCTGACCTTGTGGTTCAAACTGACCTTGTGATCTAGTGCTTTATCCCACAGCACTACACCAGGACTCCATATAGAAAGGTTAGCGCAGATGTAAATGAAATTAGGAAAAAGAAAAACAATAGGAAGAATCAAGACAAGAAGTTGGTTTTTTGAAAGGATTCATAAAATCAACAAACCATTGACAACTCTAACAAAAAGGAAGAATGAAAGGAGATGTGGATAGCACTCATGTGGTACAATAGTGAATAATTACTATCAGGACAGACTGTGAGGGTTGGAAATGCAAAGGTAGACATTTTGTAGCAAAAGGAAGGGAGTGGTTGACTTTGCAGTCCAGGAGCAGAGGACCCTGGGACCATCAAGGGAGAAGAGCAGAATGCAGGACCCTACCCAGAGAAAGAGTGACACCAGAGATGGAGGTAGAGACGATGACATGGAGAGATGGAGCAGCTGGGGACTCTAGACCCAGAGAGGGAGCAGGGCCATGTGCTGACAACCAGGGGGCAGGCTTGCAGGGTATACCATTTGGTTGGTTGATGATAAATGGAGGGGATTGTAACCATGGCAATGTAATGCTATATGATAGGATGAATGTAATGCTAATGTTCTCCCGTGTCAACTATCACATAGCTAACAATAAAAAAATTTTTAAAAGAAAAAATACAAATAAAACGAATAAGAAATTACATGGGTGACATTACACAGAACCAATGGAAATAAAAAGGATAATAGCAGAATCCTGGTGTGGTGCAGTAGGATAATGCACTGGACCACAAGGTTGGTGGTTCAAACTCACTAGCCGCTCCTCAGAAACCCTTTTTAAGGTTGCTATGAGTTGGAACCAATTCAATAGCACTTAGCAACAATAGAATGCTATGGAGAAATGTACTCCAACAAATTTAAAAGCCTAGAAGAAAAGGACAATTTACTAGAAACACACAACCTAACAAAACTAGCACAGACTAAAGGAGAAAGCTTGAACAGGCCTATAACAAGAGAAGAAATTGACCAAGTTATTAAAAAACTCCCCACTAAAAAAAGTCCAGGCCCCGATGGCTTTACTGGTGAATTCTACCACACATTCAGAGAACTGACACCAATTCTACTCAAAATTAATCCACAATAGAGTAACGAATGGGAAAATCCCAAGTTTATTTTATGAAACAGGCATAACTCTTGATACCAAAACCAGGCGAAGACATCACTACGAAAGGAAATTATAGACCAATATCCTTCATGAACATAGATGCAAAAATTCTCAACAAATGCCTAACCAGTAGAATTCAACAACAACAACAA